GAAAAGGTGTTTAGTCTTATGATTAGATCAGGCAAAGAGCATGTTAATATTTAACTTACCTGGCTCATTCCTTTGTTTTTTTCCTGACCTCCTTTGCTGGAAATAGGAGCTATCTACCTAGGGCTTAACTCTTCCTTACAGAAGGAATGTTGTTAGAGAGGAGCTGGAAGGATTCCCAGAGTTCCAGTTTTTAATCCTTAAGTGTGTAAGTTCTTCAATCATAAAAAGATGAAAGAACACATAGGGTAAAGCTCCTTGATGTTGGTTTGGCAGTGAAATATGTATAAACACGAAAAGCACAAGCAACCAAAGCAAAAATCAACAAGTGGGACTACATCAAATTGAAAAGCTTCTGCACAGGAAACGAAACAATGAACAAAATGAAAAAGTTACCTATGGAATGGGAGAAAATAAATAGTTGCAAATCATATATCTGATAAGGGGTTAACATCCAGAATATATAAGGAACATCATAGTAAAAAAAAAACCATAATGGAAATATGGACATAGGAGTGGTGAACAGATTATTAAGCATCAATGAAATGCAAACACCTGAGATCCACAATGAGATATCACCTTATACCTGTTAGAATGGCTGCTATAAGAAAGACAAAAGATAGCAAATTTGTTGAGAATGTGGAGAAAGGGAATTCTTATGCACTGTTGGTGGAATGTAAATGGGTACAATCATCACGGAAAAAATATAGAAGTTCCTAAAAAAAACTTAAAACTACCATATTATACAGCAATCCCACTTCTGAGTATCCAAAGGAAATGAAATCACTATCTTGAAAAGATATCTGCATCCATAGGTTCATTGCAACATTATCTACAGCAACCAAGATATGGGAACACCTATGTGGCATACCATCAATAGATGAATGGATCAAGAAAATGTGTGTGTGTGTGTGTGTAAGGGAATGTTATTCACCCATAAAATAGAAGAAAATCCTGCTATTTGTGACAACACAAATGAACCTGGAAGACATTATGCTAAGTGATATAAGACAGAAAGACAAATACTGCATGATCTCACTTACATGTGAAATCTAAATGAGTCAAAAGCATTAAAACAGAGTCGCACAGTAGTTACCAGGGGCAGGAAGGTGGAGGAAATGGGGAGATGTTGGTCAAAGGGTACAAGGTTCAGTTATGTAGGATAAGTTCTAGAGATCTAATGTAGAGCCTGGTGACTAGTTAATAATACTGCATTACATACTTGAAATTGGCTAAGTTGGCATTGTTTTTGTCTAAATACAAGAAATTCAGTTGAACTAATCTTTTTATTAAGCATATACTACTTGCAAGAGATGCCTGGAAATAGTATGTTTAGCTTATTTTGACTAAATTTTTGTTGTTGTTAATTTAGCCTGTTTGTGCAATGTTTTGGTCTATAATTACTGGGCAGAGAAATGAGGGAAATTACATTGTGGCTGGAAAATTTTCCTCTGTAGAGGCTTTTATTTGTGTGTACAGAAAATGTAAATAGTCATGGCAAAAGGCTTTATCTGTGATTTAATTTAAAAGCCATGGAATCAGTACCATTTCATAATATTACATCATTAACTTACACTTACTACTAATTTACTAAGTGAAGGCAGTAGAAAACTTCTAAATCCTAGCAGTGCCAAAGTAATATAATAATAGCTGTTGTTTGCTAGTCAATTCAAAATTATTATTTTTTTTTAGCAAAGTAGAAATTAAGCTGGCTTTCTAATTTGAACTATGTCCAATAGTAACTTTCAATATTTTAAAGTAAAACATTTCAGCATTATGATGGTACCTTTAGTGAATTAGTAATCATTTAGGTTTAAGAGATGCTGCTTCCCTTAATGTGCCATCTTAGTTAGAGTCAGATTGATTTAAATTTACTTCCCAATGTTGATTTACAACTATAGGATAGTGAGAGCCAATATAGCTTTTAGTTCTGTTGAGATAGGGTCATTCTTGGGAATTAACAATATCAGAAGAAATGCCTCAGAGATTATTTAAAAATATATACAAAACTGAAGAAAAGGAAACTGAATACAGAAGAGCCCTGTATTATCTTAAGTCCTCATTTTTTAATTCATATATACTATGGTGATAGCTTTGTTGCAGAATTATAACTGTAAAAATGTTACGTAATACTTAGCTTGCTCATGATTGGGCCACCTTGTAGAACTAAATACAAAAGGTATTGTATTTATCCACTGTGAAATAATGTTTCTTAATATTATGAGGGTAAATGAAATATGTTTGAATTAGCTTTGAGCATACACTATGTCATTAGTTTCATAGTATTTTTGTGAAGAAAGGATAGGTGAGCAGGGGGCAAAGATTGTGGAGGGAGGTTATTTTTGTCACAATATTTAGTTTACAAATTAAAGCAAAATCACACAATTGAATTAATAACAAAGCCTGAATTAGAGAAAACTGTCTCTCAGGCCTCTCCTTGCAAAGTTCTTTAACTAGACAATGTTGTTCCAGGTAATTTTGACAAATTTGCCTCATATTTTTAAAACTTTAATAGTCATCACCATTGCAAGGAGCAAGAATGTATGTGCCTTTTTAGGAGTCTGACTTTAAGAAGACCCTGTATACAAAAATCCCATGTTATAAATACGATTTATAGAGTTCATAGTTTTACTTTGCTCTTCACAATTATTCTTTACAATATGGACTTCCATTGACTAATGAAAATAGTACTTTTTTTCTTAGCATTTTATAAACACAATAAATTATGTATTTTAAGGTTTAGCATAAATGCAGTTTTATTCATAACTCTTTCCAGTCCACCTGAAAGTGATTTTTTCCCAATGGAAGTCCATACTGCTCCTTAATTTCTTGTTTATCACAGTCTTAGACCATTCAGATAGTCTATTGTTATAGTTATTGATACATATGATTTCTTATTCTATTGGATTATCATCTCCCACGTTTTATTGTATATATTAAGTGTTTAATAAATATTAAGTAAGCAAAAGTTTACCTTAGTCAGTGAGAGAAACTCAAGGCAGAAGAAGAGAAAAATGAGTGAGCTTCTCTTCCAGTGGACTAAGGGGGAGGAGAAGGGGGATTACATTTTCAATCTGTATTTTCCCAATCTTTTACTCCCAAATAAGAATTACTTCCTAGTGAGCCTCCTTTTAAAAGGACTATATTGTAATCTATGCACATAGTAATTGTGTATGTGTGTGTGTGTGTGTGAGAGAGAGAGAGAGAGAGAGAGAGAGAGAGAGAGAGAGAGAGAGAGAGAGAGAGAGAGAGAGAGAGAGAGAGAGAGAGAGAGAGAGAGAGAGAGAGAGAGAGAGAGAGAGAGAGAGAGAGAGAGAGAGAGAGAGAGAGGAAGGAGTGCCATAAAAGGTGAGGGAGAGGAAAGATCAAAATAATCAGAATATAGAACAATACAATATGCCTGCATTCTTGCATAACTGGTAGAGAAATATAAAAGGGGGTGTGCATTAAATACACTAGAAACAAAAGCAGATTTTATAAAAAATAGCTACCCTATTAAAGCATGATTAAAACTTCTTTTAGTATTGAGGCCCTTCTGTATATTGTTTTTTTTTCCTTTTTATTGACTTATTGGGGTGACATTGGTTAATAAAATTATATAGGTTTCAGGTGTATGATTCTATAATATGCTATCTGTATATTGTATTGTATGTTCACCACCTCAGGTCAAATCACTCCTTCTATATATTCTTGCTTCTGAATGAGACATGCTTTCAAGTTTTTGGCAGACATCAACCAGGGTTAATGGTAATTGACAAAAACTAGCCCCTTCCCTCTGGTACCCATCACACTGTTGTTTGTGTCCATGAGTTTCAGTTTTATATACCACATAGATTGTCAAATTTAAAAAGTGACAGCAGTCAACACAACAAAAGCCAGATGGTATGGAATGAATCAAAATTATACTTTTTTTTTCAGATCTGCCAAAAAATATATATTTTTTGGTGTACTGCAGAAATTTAGTAATTAGTTTATGTGTGCCATGAGATGAAAAAGGCTGAAAATCACTTGTCTAAACCCACTGAATATACAAACCAAGAGTGAACTCTTCGGAAAACTACAGACTTTGGGAAATTATGACATGTCAATGTAAAAAGTGTACCATTTTGGTGAGTTATGTTAATGGGGGAGACTAAATATGTGAGGGTCAGAGGGTTTATGGGAAATCTCTGTACAT